CACATTTTACACTGTAACCTAGGACAGTAAGAATTTATATATTTATTGTTCCTAAAGTACAGAAAGAGGTTTTCTTTGAGGGTTTTCTGTGTGTTCATGAGATTGTCTCAGCAAAGAAAATGACAAATCTACTAATTTCTGTACCTCAGCTATTTACAGCTATATATCCTAATGTATTCTAGTGGCATTTTCAGTTGGCCAGTCTTTGAAAAGACTCCCTAGCCTAATTATAAAATACCTGTCACTTTTAGTTGCAAAGTTTGAAATGCTTCAGTAATGAGATAAAGGTAACTTAGCCAGCATGTCAGGTACCTTTTTACTCATTTAGGAGAGACTTGGATGTGCTAATTGGGTCTTTGAGAGCTGACAAGCTTAAATTTGCCTGAGGATTGTTCCTTTACACCTACCCCTGTGGATGGTAGATCTTGTCAGCCATTGAGCAATCCAGAACATGAGAAATACAGGAGAAGATAATGGACTGCAAGTTTAGGGGAAGGGAGAGGGACCTCCATATCCTTCCATACAGTCTCTTCTCAGCTCTGCCCAAGACGGGAAGGGAGAGGGACCTCCATATCCTTCCATAGTCTCTTCTCAGCTCTGCCCAAGACTAATCTACTGGAATCAGAGGTCTGGTATCCCATGTCTGTGTGTACAGCTGGTAGGAGCTGTGCATCCAGGCATTCAGTACAGCCTACTCCTGAACAAAGGGAAGGATGAATTTCTAGCTCACAAAGGAAGTTGTGGCCTGTTCTTCTTTGCTGCATCTGTCTGCATTATCCTTTCATCTGTATCAGTCAAAGTAGAAATGCCCATAACAGTGGTCAGTGTTAGTGGCAGTAGTTCTTTAATTTGATAGAGAGAATTACATTTCCTCTGAAGTTGGAAAGGGTACTGCTTTGCTGTATCTTCTGCTCTGAGTCAAATCCTTATCAGTGCCCTTTGCTTCAGTGTTCAAAGGGGGCAAATTTGGAAGAGGCTTTTTGTGGATTGACAGTCCTTTGAGATTTGGGTGATTTGAGGTCTTCCCACATACTGGGTATTGCTGTTGTGCATACGAAGTTGTTTAAGATACTAGAAATAATCAATGGATTTTATTACTTTTATGTTAATGTGACATGTTTTTTTCCTCTTTTTAATCACCTTTCCAGCTTGTAGGTACAAATGGAGTTCTAAACATTGATGGAAAACTCCGTCTGCAATTATACTACCCACCTCCAAGGACCAAGTCACGTTCAAATGCTGTTGAGGTTTATGACTGGTGGGCAAAATGTCCTAGAAATCGTTATCCATCAACTTTATATGTAACTGTAAGAGGCATAAAACTGCCAGATCATGTAAGTCAAATATATAATATATAAATATATTTACAAATATACAGACTTTTCTGTAGGAACTAGTAACTAGCTAGAGCGTGTGTCTTTGTATGCATGTGTATGAAAGCTGTACTTATGTGCAGTATGTAAAATAGTTAGTATACAACTAGCTATAATAAAAACTTAGCATATTAAGATACATGTTCCAAACTGATCCCTTCATAGCTTTGAAAAATAGGCATACTTTCCCATCTGCCTTTTAATCTTTTCAGATATTACACTTGTTAATTTAAAAAATACTTTTTCCTAATACTTAGTTTTGTTCACTTTAAGGTTTCTCCTTCTTTCCGCTCTATGGTAGCTGTTCAGCTTAGCAGGAACAAAGTAGTACAATGCTGTATGAGCTCCAGAGAGAGGGATCTAAAAAATCATGTGAACCTTCTCCGAAGGAGAAAAAGGAGCCATTTAAATGGACAAGGTTGCCTGGACAGGTGAAGTGTTTTTCTTTGCTTTTTAAAGAAAAATAATTCAAAGATTACTATCTTTTTATAACTTTGTTTTTGTGATATAAGTATTATGAAACAAGTCAGTCATTAAAGCGATAAAAAAAAAAAAACCTAAACAAAACATAAGGAACTCTCAGAAATAGTAGAGGATGCTTAGCTTCTTACCAGGTATGGTTGATTTGACCATTTCTTTTGCCAGAATAGTCAGGTATTTTTACGTCCAGAATTCTCTAGGAATTTGAGAGTAAGGCTATCCAGGTAGTGGAAATCAGACAGGAAACCAGTTCTTAGATTTCAGCTCAACTGGAAATATATTTTCTTGGTGTTTTATTTATTTATTTATTTTTACTCCCTCGGTTAAATTTATTTTTACGGTATAACAGAAGGAACTTTCATTGAAGAACCTTATTAAGAAGGTTCTTGCTGACTTCATCCCAACTCCTAGATTAGTGTAGCTAATGGAAATTAGCAATCATAAAAAGGGAATATTTTTGCAACTATGTAGAATGTCCTGCAATGATTTAATATTTTTCTGTAGAATGGCATTAGCACGAGTTTATAGTTCCATAAAAACTCTAATAATATAACATAAAGATTTGTTAACAAAGAACGTTGATTTTTATTTTGATTCCATACTGTAGTCCTTGTACAGATCCTTTCAAAAAGATTACTTACACGTACATGGACTTAATTTTATTTCCCAGTCATGTCTGCTAATAATAATAAAATAGTAAACAATAGACAAGTCTGTTTTTACTTTCTTTTTACAAAAATGGCAGGATACCTAAAAGTCATATTTATGTTAATGTTTGTAGCTTTTCAGAAAGTTGCCATTCTGAAAATAAATGTGTAATCAAAACCAAGAGAAATATGATCCTAAGAATATTTGCCTGCTATCATACAAATAAAATTTGGCAGCTCATTTATACTAGTCCATGTACATATTGAAGAATATTAGTAGCAACGATGATGTATTTTGTGATGTGCTGTCTTATGAAAAAGTTTCAGTAAGGTTAGCATGATGTGGCATGTCTGTTTGCCAAAGAATATTAAAGCAGATGTGTTTGTTTAAAAATGAAAAATCGCTCAAAATTATTATGTCCTTTTTATACATTTAAATTATTGTTTTACCTTTAAAGCTAAGTTATCTTTTTAAAGTACCACGATATATCTGTATCTGTCTCCACAGGTTTAGATAGATGGATGACATTCTACAGAATTATGAATTATTTGATAATATGAATTAAATGTGAAATAATTTTATATGTGAGTTGTAGCTACATGACCTGTAAATAAAGGCAATTTTTAATTATTGATTCAACATTCTAATATTTTATTTTAGAGAGAGATAAAAAGTGTAAGAAGGCTTAATTGCATATCTAGTTTCTAATGAGGTGTGTTTACCTTTATTCAGAAGTGAACAGTGTATATTCAATTATATTGTATGTAGATCTATTTGAATACTTTTAAATGCCCATGAATCTGTTCATACTTATTTTTCATTCATAAAGGTAAATCAGGTTTAGGTTAAATAATCACATAACTAGTCTGGATATTTTAATTACCCTTAAAAACTGAATTTCATTCTGGGGAAAAAGCCCTTGGGTGAAATTTTGAGAGAGGGGAAGTGGGACTATAATACCTGTGTACCTGTGTACTTTTTTTTTTTTTAAATGTTTCATCTCCAGTTATGTTTAAAAAAATAAGGCATTGAAATACAAATGAGGAATGCTAAAGGTGATTTGGTAGACCAAATGTTTCAGGGCCTGTAGTTAGTATTCTGAGTTCGCACTGCAATCATTAACTTACTAAAAATTGTGCTATTGATGATAGTCATCATTAAGCACTTCTTAAGATTAAGGAAACTTTTCAGTTTTAAGTTTTCTTAGGTTTTTTAAAACTTGCTAGTTGTTTATAATAATCAGGCAGAAATGAATATACAAACTAGATGTGGCCTAAGCTATGCAGCAGAACTGTCTCTGTTTATAAAGTCAATTTTTCTTTTAAATTCTCTTAAGATGTTAGTAGCTTTTTAAAAGTTGTGCACGACAGGAACCAAGAACGTGTTTTAAGCATTGGGTAGTTAATATTCATAACTGTGTAATCCCAATTCTTACCTGAAAAGCTAGGCTTGCCGCATACCGAACAAGCATCTGTTTTCACTGCGAGGTGGAGATATGGGCTGTTTCTGTATTCGTTTCTCTCATGATGGGAAAACACTGGCAGCAGCATGTGCAGGAAGGAATGGCTATCCCATTGTTTGTAAGTTAAAATATTTTGGGGTTTTTTCCTTATAACTCACATACTTTGAAATTAAAGGGCGAAGATGTGTTTTTAAGTTGTAGATTTTTGGAGCTTTTGTTTTATAATTGTGTTTTGCAAATTGTTCTGTGCATTAAAGTGTATTGAGGAAAATGCTCTTTCTGTGTTAATAGGGCTGAAACTGGCTTTTGATACATGGTAATGTATATATAGTTTAACAGTATGTAATCATACTATTTCTGCTCAGAGCTCTAATGGAAATACTAAATTTTTGCACAAGAAACATATTTTCTGGTAATAAGGTTTTAAGTGAAGTAACTTTTCCAGCCCCCATCCCACATGCTTTTTGTGTAAGTTTTTTTCCTAACCTGTCGTGAAAGTTAGATAACCAGAATATTGTAATCTCCAGACAGACTATTGGAGGCTGCTGTCTTCCATAGTCCTGTTCAGTTAGAACTACAAATATTCCTTATTACTCTAACTTGGGGCTGCTTCTTCAGGGTAGCCTCAACTGCATAGTTCTTAAGCCCCGAATAAGAATTTTGAGATTTAGAGATAACAGTGTTTTAAGCATACATAGAGTAAATGTTTAAATGTAAGGAAGTCTAGATTCCTTTATTACTCAGCCCCAGAAAATGGTCTCAATGTTAATCTCTTTCAAAGATTGGATGGATAGCTGTCAAAATTTAAAATAAAATAAATTAAAAAATGAAATCCTAATCTGGTTGTAATATTTAAAGCAAGTAGGCTGTTTCTTAATGGTTAAGACATTCGTGACATCCGTGAACCACTAGATGGAAGTATATGATTGCTGTCTATGCATATCTAGCAACTAGGTGATCCTGTTCTCTGAAAATGAAAAGATAAAATGAGTTGACTTAGGCTAGCAGAAACTCAGCCTAAGATTAGACTAAACTTTGCACTAATAATGGCATATAATTGATTGTAAATACTTACAAAATTTTTGGTTTTCTGTTTAAACTTCACTAGTGTATGAAATTCCTTCTGGACAATTCCTGAGAGAATTTTATGGTCATCTTAACATAGTGTATGATCTTTGTTGGTCAAAAGACAATCAATATCTTCTTACTGCATCCTCTGATGGCACTGTCAGGTCAGTATGAAGAAGCAGGAAAGAAAGTGGTCCAATTTCATGGCTTACTACAAACTCTGCTATGGTGTTTTAATTAAAGGTTTGATTACAGTGTGACTTACTCTATAATAATATAAGAACTGTGATGGAGTTAATCGCTTACACTGTATTTACTATATTGGTTTCTAAAGTATGTATGTATTTGAGACCAAAGCTTTTTCAAAAACTGTAGTGTCTACATCTACAGTGCAGCAAAAAAAAACCCCAAACCCCCCCAGCTTTATATTTCAAGAAGTCACTGAGACAGTTGGAATATTTTGTCCTTAGAGAAATGGCCATATTATGAATGCAGTATTAAGTCTGCAAATCTGAACATGAGACAGGAAATTGAATATTTCAGATTGAAGTTATACATATAAATTGGCCACACTGCGCGTGTGGATTTTTTTTTTTTTTTTTTTTTTAGTTTTTGGACACTTAGTTAAATAATTCCACTTATATTGCAAATGAAATCTGATAGTGTTATTTCTGAGACTGAATGTGTACACATTTTCCTCTACAATTAAAAGGTGTACCTCAGTGAAGTGTCAGTGTTAAAATATTACTCTGTTCCAAGGTTTAAAACCAAAAACCCAAGGTTTAGAAGCAAAACTGTAGAAATACATGAAAATGTCTGTGACACTGCACAATTTCATTGCGAGCAACTTCATAGGTTTTCTTAGGGCTTTTTTTTTTTTTTAGCTCTTCAGATCCCTATCTGTTGTTTCTGTTATGCAACTCAGTAATGCTACAGGCAGTTGCATAATTGAAATGCCAGAAGAATTGTTAAGTGATATATTGTATGTGTGGAACTGTCTTGCTTTTTTTTTTTGCTTGTTGTTTGTAGGTAAATAGAGTATTTTGAGAGCTTAGCCCATGTTTTTATGTTTTATTTGGAAGCAAATTAAATAAGATTTTTTTTTATATTGAAGTAAATATCAATTTCAGTTATTTGTGTTACTGATCAGAAGGTCCAGCTGTTCCTCAATTCTTGAATTTGTGGCAGTGAGTTGAAACTCTAGTGGTCTTCCTCCTTTTCTGTGTACTATGCATAGGCACTGCATGAGTTATTAGTTCCTGTATTGTCTGTTGCCTTAAGCTCCTTAAGTCTCATTTTAGGCAAGGAGTTTTTTCTTTCCCTTCCATATTGGGAACAATTTGCCATAGAAACATGGTAGAATTGAAGGATGAGGACCAAAAGGCGCCCTGTTGCTGTAAAGTCATTATCAGTTTATTACTTGAATCATCTCTCAGACTGAGTTCTGGAGCAACTTGCAGGGTAATTTGGGAACTTACATGAATTCTTTATATAGTGTTTTATGTTACCCTTGAGCTTTCCCAAGCTTTAGTCACACATTATTTGTTATAAATGAACTTTTATGTCGTTAGAGCAAAACCATTTTAGAAGATAGGTAGACTCCTTGTGAGATATTTGCATATTTTAAGTTAATTGCTGTACTCTAAGGGATTGCAGTTTTGTAGTGAACTCACCTCAGAGTAAGCTTAGAATTCTTCAGTAGCCACCAGAAGTAGTCATCTCACCTGGAAGGGTGGCACTCAAACAATTAAATTCCATATTGTAACTGAGAACTCTGAAATGTGCTGCCCATCTGTATTCGGTGATCCAGGTACCATTCCATTCTTTAGGGACTCATCTTTGGGGAAGGTTCAATAATAAAATGTACAGCATCAAACAAAAAACACTTCCTAAGAAAAATCTGGTCTTACAGCTATGGGTGGTGAAGGATAGGAAATAGGTGAATAGTAAGAACTGAATTTATGTGAAGAAAACATCCTTGAGATCACAATCACTGTGTGGTAGGTAATTGTTCTTTTGAAACATTCTGGGGTTTTATTTATATTTAGTGGCCTTAAATGTTCCTTTGTGGGTTTTTTGTTCTACTTTTTTTTTGTTTGTTGTTTTAACAAATGATACCCTAGAAGTTTTTAATAATGGGTTTACAATTCCTGAAAGAAAGAAACTGACTCATTCCATAGAATTCTTTATCTGTATTTTAAAATGTGCAAAATATCCTTTAAATGAGTAAGTAGTCATGAATTTACTTTGAAGACAGAGTACTATGTAAAGTAGTAAATGTATCTTAATTCTTGTTAGAAAGTACCGTATTAAAGGATTAAATTATAGGTGGAACAAATTGGTAGTATAAACAGGTGGTGGTAAGTGTTTGCAAGCATTTGCCTCTAGAACCACTAGCACAAAATATGGCATCAGTTATACCTGTGTATGTGATTGCTTTCTACAGAAGACATCCTAACATCCTTTCCTTTTAGAATGTGGAAAATAGAAATGCAGGCAGCATCTGCAGTGAGAGTTTTCCCTCATCCTTCATTTGTTTACACTGCAAAGTACCACCCGACTGCTGACTCCTTGGTTGTGACAGGATGTTATGACTCAGTGATTAGAATCTGGAATGCAAATGTGAATGAAATCCATGGGCAGCTGCTACAGGAGCTTGATGGTCACAAAAGTTTCATCAACACACTTTGTTTTGATGCAGAAGGTATGTACTCAGTATTACTTTTTCAAATAGCCCTCTCTTCTGTTGAAGACCATCTTGAGTGTCACTAGTTTCCTTTATTTCATAGACGCAATGTGAAATGCTGTAATAGAATAGAATAATTTTGTCTTTGTTTGCAATTAATACATTAGTATGATGCCTTATTTGGATGAACTCGGAGACACAAATAGTCCCTGATTATATATTGAGAATAATCAGAAAAGGTAAATGTAGAAGGGACAGGCAAATAAATATGTAGTGATCAGGCAATGATGACTGGGCAAATTTTGGTCATAGTTTAGTTTTCATTGTCCCTATAACTAGCTATTATTAGTTAGCTACTGTTTTTTAGATATTACAGTAAAAAGTAGCAGAACATAAAGCACAGATGCTACTGTTCAGCAGAGATAAATGCATCAGGATGTAGATGGAAAGCCTAGCAATTAGTGTAGAGAGGTAAGTTGGAAAAAAGGCAGGTTGGCTAGAATTCTTCTAGGTGGAAGAATTATGTACTAACTTAAAAGCAGAAGCAGGAAATCTGAAACCAGCTTCTAGAGAACTCTCAGAACAGAACTTCAGAACAGGAGGTTGAATGAACAGAACAGTAGCAAAGATAGCTCCACTATATTGTTTTCGAAGGTACGAGCTCAATACAAAGATAATGAGATAGCAGTAGTTAGATTGTGAGAATTTTAGTAGTGGGAAGGTGATGAGCTTTTCAGCATTGACAGAGAATGTGGAAAAACTGAGAGAAAAGGATAGAGACTTGACCATTGTGAATAATGTTAATTGGTAGATAGCTGAAAGTGAGAGAGAGAGAAATGTAGTGACATGTACTAGTGGAGGGTAGGAAGAATTGAAGATAGGTGAATGAATAAGATACTTGGAAGTGTTTGACTTTTTCTAGTACTAGTGGCATCGTTAGTAATTAGGTGGTTCATTTTTGGAGGTATTCACTGAAGTAGGTACTACGAAGAGGAAAAAGTTGCGTTTTTATAAAGAATAAGTGTTTGTGCTTAATTTAAGAAAACTGTCAGAAAACAGTATTTGTTCTTGTTCAAGATGCTCTCGGTGAATGTATATGTAAGCATTAGGCTATCATGTGAAGCTCAATGAGCTACAAATGCTCATTTTTGCTGGTTCTAGAATATGAGTAAAAATGAAAAGACTTAAAAGAATATTCAGCACCCCAGTATCTGGCTTATGTGCTGAATCCAAATTGATGGTATCAACTTACGTCATCTTACGTCATGCAGTATGAGCAAAATGTATTTGCAGTGAGTATATCATAACAGAAGAGAATTGGTGTTCACCTATTCACAAAAATAATAGAAAAAAGTTGTTTCTTGTTCATACATCCTCTTTTGCATTAGTTCTTTTATATGGTGTTCTACTTATAAGATGTTGTTATTTCACAGGGCTCCACATGTTCTCAGGAGATAGTTCAGGGGTAATAATAGTTTGGGATACATCTGTCGAAGAAAGTTCTCATCAGTTTCGACACTGGAGGATTAATAAGGTATGCAGGTTTCTTAAACTAGATCTGTAATTTTTATGTGAACTGTTCCAAATCTAGTAATTTGATTTGAATTCAAATAGTTTTATACATTTGCTTTTGTTTAGTTGAAAAAATGTATTTTCTTTAAATAATGGTACAAAGAAGCTGACAGAACATGTTGTGATTCACTGACTTAAAATTTTTGAATTGTTTTGTAACTTCAATTTTTTGTATATAAAACAAGAAAATGCATGAGGTTTAATAGCATTGTATCAAGAGATAAATGCTAATACAAGAGGTTTGTTCTCTAGAGGCAACAGTAAAACAGACCACGGGCTTTACAAATCAACCTTTGTTCATACCTTAAAGGCCTGATGTTCAGTCAGAATTTCCTGTCATCAGCTGTGTTTCAGAAGTTTGGAGTCACCACAGAATCTGCCTTGTGCTTGTGAAAAGTTGATTGCCTGGAGTGTAGTGCCTTAATATAGGAACAAACTTTTTCCTTAAGCAGATAGAATGAAGTGGGCAGGAAAAGAGTAATGCAAGAGAAAAATTAATAATGATATGTAAAACATGAAGTTTAAAACACAAAGTTGTATTTTTTTACTTTATTTTTCTTCTTTCTGTAGGAAATAAAAGAAAATGATATTAAAGGAATGCCAGTAAATCATTTGGAGGTGCATCCAAATGGAAGGCGTTTATTAATCCATGCCAAAGACAGTACCCTGAGAATCATGGATCTCAGAATGTAAGTAGATATTTGGTGACAAGTGCGTATTTCCTTTCTGTTTTAAAATTTACTTGGGGAAATAAAATACCATAAAACTATTAAATGTATAGTTGTGGAGAAGAAAGATGTCCTAATAATCAAGGACAGCAATATTAGGGTTAGGAAATGGTTTCAAAACACTGCTGTATTACAGACCTTTTGTGTGATATTGGGTAAGTCTTTTAGAATTGAATGCCCAAAAATTACTAGATTACTTGGGAGCTTAAGGTGGCATGAAGGAGAAGACACTAATCTCCTAAAGATTGAATTAACTTTTAAAAATACAATCTGGGTGTGAAAATTATGTTGAAATTATAACATTTATTTATAACATGGTTAAGACTCTGGGAAGAGTATTTTGATGATAAAACAGCACGAAGATTGTCATCATAAATACTGAAAAATGCCGTGATGAACATATTATGGTGTATTAAGGAGGCCATGAGATATTTTTAACTTAGTTTTTGATGTTTTTCTCATTTTTAATAGTTACGAATGTGATTCTTTAATAATATGCTACAATAAAAACCAAGGGAATCACAGAATCACTGGAGTCATTGAGGTTGGGGAATGTCCAGTCCCAATAATCAAAGCATAAGAGCATGTTACTCAGAGCTTTGTCCAGTTGGGTTTTGAATATCTCAAAGGATGGAAAGTTTACAACTTCTGTGAGCAACATGTTCTAGTGTTCATTCACTCTAAAAGTAAAAGATTTTTTTTCTTAATTTTAAATGAATTTTCCAATATTTCAATTTGTTCATTCCCTCTTGTCCGTTCACTGGGTGAAACAAAGAAGAGTCTCACTCCTATCAGTTACACATATTGATAAAGATGCATCTGAACATTCTCTTCTGGAAAGTCGCATTAAAGATAGGAATGCTCTTTCTCAATGATTCATCCTTGACTTCATGGGTTCCCTACCTCTTCTTGCCACACAGAAAATTGAAGGTCCCCGGTGCTCTACATGAAATTACGAGGGGGCGAATACTTCTATGTTCTTATAGCACGAGAAACCACGTTCTTTTAGAACTCTTATACATATATATATAT